TTTATTTTTGGTTTGCTTCTCCAATACGTGTTTTTTTATAAAATATCAACTGCAATTGACCGGTTTATCCTCAAGTCGATTTGCAAGTTTGTAGTCGGTTTGCAAGTTTTTATTTATTTTTTATATTTATACATAAAGGTATGTCAACAATTGTAGGTAAAGAATTATCCTTTTGTTTTTCATCATAATATAAGATGAAAACTATTTGACAAATGAATAGTAAATTATGGGGATAAACTGGGAAAAAGAATACTTAGTGGGGATGAAATGGGAAAGACAAATGCTTCACAAATAAATAGTAACCTACGGATTGGCTCTTTTATATGTGTAGGGAGATAGTAGGGATATAAACAAAAATCGAGATACGATGAACAGTGACCGACGTGTCAAAACTCAAATGAACANTGCTTCACAGATGAATAGTGAATGGCGGATTGGCTCTTTTATATTAGTAGGGAATTAATTAATTAGTAGAGATATATATATATATGAACAGTAACCGACCTGTCAAAACTCAAATGAACAGTAACCGACATATCAAGACTAAATCAACTAAAAAAGAAAAGGAAAAATAACATGCCAATTGATATGTGTGGATAAATTAATTGAAGTGGGCTTCTATTTGAATAAATTAATGCAAACAATGTTGGTGAAGGTATGGCATGTTACATAACCAGTTCAAAACCAGTTCTTAATGTGAAAAGTTGGGCACGGAATGAACAGTGGATTTCAGATCCTCTCTTTTAAAGGAAAGGTGATGCAGTATTTTTAGTTTCCACATTATTGAGGCACTCCTTTCTCTTTGCTTAGATAAGACTTTTGTTAGGGAGCATCTGGTTGGTGGGTTTATAGATAATTAAACTATCTATTAACATTAAACTATTAAAATTTATTAAATAATCAGATTTATTGAATAAAATATTACAAAAAAAATATTTTCAAAATTTCAAAGTAAACGCGTTTTCAAGTTTTGTGTTTTGAAAAACAGTTTTTCAGAATGACAAAGAGAACGCGTTTTCAACAATTCCAAAACAGACACTCATAACAGAAAACACAAAATGAATTCAAAACTCAAAACACAAAATAGAAATACAAAGAGAACGACCCCTAAGCTATTATATAAAGTTTGTGGGCCGGCTCTTTAGCCGTNTGATGAATGGAGAAAATAATGTATTTAACCATTTGCTTAAATCATATATCCCAGCATTAGAATATCAATGGGAAGTTCCTACATTTCGTTCGCTTAAAATACAAGAAGATATTGCATTTGCTAGCAATAAAAATCAATGATATCTAAATTTAATACTTGATTCTACCCCAAAGATGATAAAATCTGCATCAGTATTTCCTTATTTTTAATTCTTAATTTTCAGAAATATAAATATATACAGAAATACTAAAGAAATGTCAGATATCTTGAGTCTTAAATCAAATAATTATTTCTTCAATTTTAAAATTTTGTTCATTGTAATCATCCATGAAGTCTCCTATTGAATAATTCACCCGTCTATTTACTTGGATGTTTAACGTGAGATGAGATAAAAGGGAAAGAAAATTGAAAGAGGAGAGCTGAATGAATTACCTCCCCAATCCCAGAGGAAGCTGCAGTGATGACTACCACTTTGTTCTCCTGTTTCGCGCGAGTTATCACTAACAATTAAAAGAAATGTTCAAACAATTGTGTAAGGAACAAACCTCTTGAGACAAAGTCCTAGAAAAGGGCGTTTTATTTATGAAGATTACAATTGGAAAGAAGCAAAATGCATTCAAGGCGCAAAAACACACAAAGTAAATGAATTGAAAGTTTGCAAATAGAAATTAAATGAATTGAAATTATATATTCTCTGTTGAGAGTATTTGATTCGAGGTCTTTCCTTATATGTCTTATTTTCCTTTTTATACTCCTTTGTCG